TCTACTTGCAAAAATTTTGTTAAGGCATTGTGTCTATTGTTCAGGAGGGTTATTAATCTGTAGGTTTTTTTTCCTTGTAATATCTCTGGCTGTGGCATCTGGGTAACGCTGGACTCATAAAATGAGTTGGGAAATATTCCTCCCTCCTCTGTGTTCTGAAACAATTAATATATAGTCGGTATTATTTCATCTTTATTTTTTTCCTGAGTTTATGACTTTATTTACTTTTTATGAATATCATTTATTGTCAAGTTGGCTTACATACAACACCTAGTGCTCATCTCAACAAGTGCCTTCCTAAATGCCCATCTCCCATTTTCCCCTCTCCTCCACCCCTATTATTTCATCTTTAAATGATTCATAGAATTTTGCCAATTTTTTTTGAACTTATGAATTCACATCTTTAATAGATAAAGAGCTATTGAAATTTTCTATTTTTTCTTGGGCCAGTTTTTCTAACAGGTGGTTTTCAAGTAATTTGTCCATTTCAGGTAGTTGCCAAATTTATTGTATACAATTGTTTATAATACCCCTTTCTTATCTTTTTAATGTCTGTAGGATCTGAAGTGATGCTCCCTCCCTTTCATTCTTGATATTGGTAATTTGTATCTTTACTCTTTGGTTGTTAATCAATGTAGCTAGAGGTTTATCAATTTTATTGATCTTTTTGGAGAACCAGTCTTTGCTTTCATTGATTTTCTTCATTGTTGGTCTGTTTCCTATTTCACTGATTTCTAGTCTTATCTTTATCATTTTCTTCCTAACATTGCCTTTTGAAGGTTATAGAAGGGCATAGGTTCCTACACCCACCTTCAATCATAGATCATGGAGGGTCCAAAGGGAAAAGGGTCTTCGAAGTAATTTTGTCCAACCCTTTCATTTTATAGGCAAACAGAAATCCAAGGGGGACAAGTTTTTCCTCAGGCCACTTAGTTTTCTTTCAAGGCCGGCTCATTTATTAATTTACTTATTCTTTCTTCATTAATATGGTCTTATTCATTCATGTAAGGCATAATCGTTGAACTTACACTATGGGTGTTCTGTTCTAAGAAGATGAATAAGTCATAGTCTCTGTCTTCAAAAATCTCCCAACCTAGTGAGGGAGATAGCAAGTAATCAGACAAGTACAGTGCAGGACCGATACATAACGGAGGTGTTCGTAGGGTGCCATGAATGCACCGAGGAAAGAATGACAAAGTCTAATCACTGGTGTGAAGATGAGGGTGGAGGTTGGTCAGGGCAGAATTGAGAAAAGACTTTGAAAATGGATTGAGCAAGCAAAGTAACTCCTCTTCACTCCAGAAAGAGCTCTGTGAATCTACTAAATATTTGTTTCAATGAAGCAAATAGAGGGACACCTAGGTGGCTCAGTCGGTTAAGCGTCCGACTTCGGCTCAGGTCGTGATCTCACGGTTCGTGGGTTCGAGCCCCGCGTCAGGTTCTGTGCTGACAGCTCCGAGCCTGGAGCCTGCTTCGGAGTCTGTGTCTCCCTCTCTCTCTCTCTCTCTCTCTCTGCCCCTTCCCTGCTCACACTCTGTCTCTGTCTCGCTCTCTCTCTCAAAGAAATAAACATTTAAAAACTAAAATAAATAAAGCAAATAGAAAGCAAGACAAGTTTTGATGAGAAGCCATCAGTTAATCAATTAGCTAATTTTGTGTCCAGCATCATGCTAAGAACACAGTTATGCAGATGATTCAATCCTGTTTTCTAGAGAATAAGTGTTCTCTCAGATTCCCACTCACTGATTTTCTTTTTTGCAGATGGCTGATCCCATCCATAGAAGGTAAATATATTTAGAAGGTGTAGAGTGATCTTACTGATACTGACGTCCTTCTCTATTATCTGCTTACCTATTGCTGCATAACAAATTACCCTGAAACTTAGCAACTTAAAACAATAAGCATTTATCATCTCACACAGTTTCTGAGGGTCAGGAATCCGGCCGTGGCTTAGCTGAGTGTTTCTGGCTCCAGGTCTGACAGCAGGTCTTTCATGAAAGCGGCTGGGGCTACTACAGTCTCTAGGGATTTGACGAGGGCTCGAGGCTCCCTTTCCAAGCTTGCTGGCTGTGGGCAGGAGGCCTCACCATGTGGGCCTTTCCATAGACGCGGCTTGACGTGTGGGTGTCTGCCCCCAGGAAAGAATAATCCAGATGTCACTCTGCCTTTTATGAGCTGGTCTCCAAATCACACACCTTTGCCTTATGCTGTCCATTAGAAGTGTCATTGAGTCCAGGGGTACCTGGATGGCTCATCCAGAAGAGCATAAGACTCTTGATCTTAGGGTTGTAAGTTTGAGCCCCACAGTGGGTGTAGAGATTACTAAAAAATAAACTAAAAAAAAAAAAAAAGTGTCACTAAGTCTAGCCCACACTCAGTGAGAGGAAATTACATTAGGGCAAAGACATGCACACCAAAAAGTGGGGACAATTTGGGGCCATTTTAGAGACTTACTACCACAGGTACCCTCATATGCTGACTAAAATATTAACAATCTGGGGGTGCCTGGGTGGCTCAGTGGGTTAAGTGGCCGGCTTCGGCTCAGGTCATGATCTCGCGGTCCGTGAGTTCGAGCCCCGCGTCGGGCCCTGTGCTGATAGCTCGGAGCCTGGAGCCTGCTTCAGATTCTGTGTCTCCCTCTCTCTGACCCTCCCCCGTTCATGCTCTGTCTCTCTCTGTCTCAAAAATAAATAAACGTCAAAAAAAATTTTTTTAAATATTAACAATCTGGAAGCTTAATGACACTAAGATTGAAATGGCCAAGTCACCTTTGCCACTCTTTCTTTCTTTCTTAAGATTTTATTTTTAAGTAATCTCTACTCCCAATGTGGGGCTCAAACTCACAATCCCAAGATCAAGGGTCACATGCACTACCGACTGAGCCAGCCAGCTGCCCTTACACATGGAACTTTCAAGGGCTTACTTCTTTTTTTTTTTTAACATAATTTATTGACACGTTGGTTTCCATACAACACCCAGGGCTCATCCCAACAAGTTAAAGGGCCTACTGCTCAGAAGTTAAAGTATTTTGTAGAATCTAATCCTCTTTATAGATATTATACTATTACATCCTCAAATAAGATGTAATAGTTTTACTGAGAACTGTATCCAGCCCCATACTGGGAGAAATACCTTAGATACAGGAGGCAATTTCAAGGAATCTTCTAGAAGGATATAATCATTATCCTTTGGCAGTTTAGAATTCTGCAGAATTATGACTTTATTTATTCTAGGGACTGATGCAGCAGTTAATAAGACAGAAGGGAGTGGGGATGATATTATGGACTGAATGTTTGTATTTCCCCCAAATTCATACCTTGAAGCCCAAACCGCCAATGTGGTGGTGTTTGGAGATGGGGCCATTGGTAGTGAAGTAGATTTAGATGAGATCATGAGGGAGGGGCCCCCATGATGGGATTAGTTCTTATAAGAAGAGGGAGAGAGATGAGAGCTGTCTCCTCACCAAGTGAAGAGACAGGCAGAAGGCGGCCATCTGTAAGATAGGAAGAGACTTGTCATCAGGAACCCAAATAGCTGGCACTTTGATCTTGGAATCCCAGCCTCTAGAGCTGTGAAAAATGAATTTCTGTTATTTAAGACACCTACCCTGTGACATCTTGTCATAGTGGCCTGAACAGACTAATTTAATTTTTTTTCTTTTAATTTTTATTTATTTTTGACAGAGAAAAAGACAGAGCATGAGTGGGGGAGGGGCAGAGAGAGAGGGAGACAGAATCTGAAGAAGGCTCCAGGCTCTGCACTGTCAGCACAGAGCCCGATGTGGGGCTCAAACCCACAGACCTCGAGACCATGACCTGAGCTGAAGTCAGACGCTAAACCGACTGAGCCACCCAGGCGTCCCTTGAACACACTCATTTAAAGGGCGACTGCCACCTGACTGAGTAGAAGCAAGACTGAATTCACGGTGTTAGCATTCTACAGGGTGTTCAGTGGTAGAGAAACCTACAGGCTTTCAAGACGCTGTCGGTCTGCAGAGGGGCAGGGCTGATGGAAGGGAACTCCCCGACAGCTGAAGAAGTTACTGAAAATGTGACTGGGGAATATGGAAGTAAACATCTAGAGGGCCAGCTTGGAGTGCTAAGCCAATAGTAGAATATTCGGAAAGAATCACACTGTTGGAGGAGGGGTAGGGTCACTCTGGTCATTGGTGTAGATTGCACTGATGAAGGAGTGTTTTTAAGAGAATATTCTCCCCTTTGCATATAGGTTGTCATGAAAAAGATATTTAAAGTGGGAACAAGTGCTAAGACCTAGTTTACTTTTCTGAGACTCAAGAGAACAGAACACAGCAAGGAGGCTTGTATAGAATCAGAGTCCAGCCACAAAATGCAGAGTCCAGCCACAAAGTGACGGTGCCCACCCTTGTGCACTCTGGTGACAAGGAAGGGCTCTCTCTCTCTCTTGCCTAAAGGAGTAACCCAGCTGTTATATAATTCTTCTCTAAAAGTTCTCGGAAAGCTATGATTCCATGCTTGAGTCAAAACCAGAGAAAGTTTTGGGGGAGACCTACATGCTAAAGAGAGCTGATTCAGCTGCCATAACAAAGGTCAATGTCACTGTGGCTTATACCCGATAGCAATTTATTAGTCTCTCCTGTAATTGTCCAAGAATAGGCAGTACAGAACGGTATAGGGGCTCCGTGGTATTAGAGACCCATACTCCTTTTTTTTTTTTTTTAAGTTTATTTACTTATTTTGAAAGAGAGAGAGCACGTGTGAGTGGGGAAAGGGCAGAGAGAATCCCAAGGAGGCTCTGCACTGTCAGCATTATGCGAGATGGGGGACTCAAACCCACCAACAGTGAGATCATGACCTGAGCTGAAATCAAGAGTTGGCCGCTTAATCGACTGAGCCACCCAGGCACCCCCAAACTCCTTTTTCAATGCCCTTCATTCATCTCATGGCCTTCTAGGCTATCCCACAACTGCAAGAACTCCTGTCCCCATACCCACATCCCAGCCGGCAGAAGGGAGAAAGAGAGAATGGAAATACACTTTATTGTTAAGGATATGACCAGGAAGTTGCATATACCATTCTGCGTAGGTCCTATGAGGCAGAACCAGCATGTTGTAGGTTTCACTTCTGCCTAGGTTCTATTGGGCAGAACCCAGGGGCTGTATTTCACGGCAAGGGAGCCTGGGAAATGCAGTCTTTTGATACAAGCCTAAACTTGTATTATTCTAGAAGGGAAAAACACACTGGGGGAACAACTGGCAGTCTTGGCCATAACGACCTCCTATAATCTTGTCTGCAAGGAAGGCAGGTCAGATCGGTCAGAGCCAGGTAAATATCATATCTTTTTACCAGACTATAAACTGTAAGAGAGCAAGGGCCCTAGCTCTCTTTGCTCTTCACTTGATCCTCATTTCTTAGCCTAATTCCTGGCACAGAGTAGCTTCTCAATACAGACATTAAATAAATGAATGAATGAAAGACAGCTAGACGGAAGAATTCAGAGACCCTTCATTGTGCCTTTCCCCCAGGACTTTTGTTGCATGAATCGAGACCACTTGGTTTCTTGTTAAAATGCAACCTGAGGAGGTCTGTTGAGAGATTTTCACAAAGTGAAATTTCCTACCCACCAGATCCACCCTGACAAGTGGTGTGGTTTCTTTAGACGCTTGCTCTGATGTCTACTGATGGTGAACTTTAGGTGACTGAGTCCACAGAGAGCAGTTTGATGGCGTGTGATAGGAGAAAGCTGGGCTCCTCCATAACTCAAATGTGTTATTATTGTAAGCAAACCTGGTATCTTCCCGAGAGAATTTTATCCCAAGGTCTCCCATGTTACACAGATTGATTCTTAGAGATAGGAGGGGCCCACTTTGGAGCAAATGGGGCATCTGTTGGGAGTTGCTGGGCGGGCTCGAGGAGCCAAAACATCCAGCCTCCTCAGCTTGGGGTCCGGGTTAGCCTGGCAGCTGTCCCCTGAGGGCTGTGTTTCCAGCCTCCGCATTTAATAAGCTGAGAGAATTGAAAACAGTAAAATATGGAAGATAATACACCAGTCAATAAAAAGATAAAGTAAACTAAGAAGAAATAAAAAGATGGTAAAAACGGTAAAAAAAAAAAAAAAAAAAAAAAAAAAAGGCAGCGGGCAAAGTGATAATATGAACTAAAAATAAACCAAACAAACTAAAAAGAAATGAAAAGATAGAACAAAGACACGATAAGGCAAAGGTTAGAAATAAAAGATGGAGAATAAAAAGATAATACAATAACAATAAATCTAGAAGATAAGATGAGATAAAAGCAACTAGTATGAAATGGCTAGAACAAAGACGAAGAAGAGATTAAAAATGACAGAGATAAGTAAAATCATTAAAACCAGAAAAATAAAAGACTAAAGGGATTAAAACAATAAAATGTGTTAAAGCAATACCAAAAGGAATAAAAAATTTAAAAGACTAGGCTATGGGGGAAGAGAGTAATAGATCAATTTTGTTTCAAATTAAAATAATGCAACCATGCTAGTACAAAAGCCTACCCCCCTTTCACAGACACACTCTGAGTCCAGGCAGCCTCAAGGTTGTGCAGACCTCCCAACCTTTAAGCATCCATGTTAATTTGCTACCCTTACAAAGCACCATGGACTGGGGGGCTCGCGCAGCAGACATGTATCTGCTCACAGTTCTGAAGGCTAGCAGTCTGTGAGGGGTGGTTTCTTCGGAGGGCCACGAGGGAAGGATCTGTCTCAGGCCTCTCTCCGTGGCTTGTAGACGGCCATCTTCTCCCTGCGTGTCTGTGTAGAGATGTCTTCTTATAAGGACACCAGTCCTGTGGATTTACAACCCACCCTAATGACCTCATTTTAACTCAGTTACCTCTGCAAAGACCCTGTCTCCAAGTAGAGTCACCTTCTGAGGTACTGGGGGCTTGGAAAGATGAATTTGGAGACCCAGTTCAGCCCATAATAGCATCCATGCAAGGAGTGCCTGACAGGATACCCTCCAGGCAGAGAGCAGGACCTTTGACCTCTTGCTTGGTTTAGGGCCTCTGACAGAACGGATTTTTTTTTTCTCCTTGATTTTAGTTGCTGACTAATATTCTTCATTTCACTTGGACCCACAGGGCGATAAGGCTGAGTCCTAGAAAGATAAGGTTCTGGAGTCCATAGCCTATTTTCTCTCGTGATGTTAGGGTTGCTGGGAGCAAGAAATATCCTGGCAGGCAGTCTCCTATGGCTAATGGAGAGGCCCATCCATGAGGCGGGGCTGGTGCGCCTGGCTTCTCCTGCCAAGAAGCTTCTGCTCTGGCTAGAAGCACTCGCGAGATGGAGGGTGATTTCCAATTCCCCCTAAGCCAACAGCATGATCTCTAGTGGGGTTTTGGAGCTTATATTTCATTGTCTTCTGCCTTTTCCAAACAGGGAAGCCTGGGAGAGCTGGACCCCAGAGCACTTGGGGATGAGTTTTCTATACTTGGTTTCTCTCTTGCTCCGAGGTAGAGTTCAGAACCGTGTGCAGTAGAGAGAAGCCTGAAAAATCCTCCTCTTATCCTGGAGAAGAGAAAACACAGACCCGTGGAACAGGCAAGCCAAAGATCACCTAGTTCAATATCCTCGTTAATAGTTGAGGAAACAGAAATCCAGGAAGGAAAGATTTGCCCCAAAGCATTCTCTCTCTCCCTCTTGCACACGCACACATACACATTCATGCACACTGGGCAGGCGCACAGAGCCCAGGCCCAGCTTCATGGGTATTCACCCTGTGCAGTTGCATAGGGCCCCGTGCTCAGGAGGGCCCTGCGCTTGATTTAATGCTCTGTTACCACCATCCTGAATTCTTAATAACTTTGCAACAGGGGCGCTACCTAACATGTTGCAGTGGGCCCTGCAAGTCTCGGAGGCAGCCCTACCCCCTGACTCTGATCAGGAAGGAAGCCCCAGCCACTCAAGCTCTTTTTGACCACAGGCTGTCCAAAGCAGAGACTCGCTTACAGTTCTTGGCACAAGATAAGCCCTTCAGAAAAGAAGGAAGGGGAGGATGCCTTTGCTTCAGGCCCAGAGGCGCTCTCTCTAGCCAGAGTGAGTTCTTAGCTAGGGCGTGAACCTTACAGTCACCCACCTTGAATCTCCAGCCTGCAGACTGGGCCTGTCCCAGTCCTGTGTTCTTCAAGATCCCCTGTCTCCCTGGCAGAAACCCAAGGGGGCGGGACAGGGGAGGGATGAAAGGAAAGTGAAAGTATCAGCCTCTCTGGATGGCCTCTCCTCCTCCTCCTCCTCCTCCTTCCTCCCTCCCCCCCCTCCGTTGCCATGGTGACCAGAACAAAGCCTCTCTTTCCCCTCTTTTCTGGATTGTTAATTGTCTTTACTCCATGGTGCCTTTGTTAATTGTTGCCAGTCCCTCCCAGGATGGGGATCTAGGTCTCCTCGAGACAGGAAAGAGGGTTAAAAAAAGTTAGGTGATGGGGGTGGGGCACTATAAACCGGTGGGGGGGGGGGGGGCCGGGGGGAGGAGAATGAGGAGGCAACCCCAGGATTTCCTAAATTCCCCCGGGCTCCTGGGAAGGGAATACACTCTTCATTTCTTTCCCTCTCTCCCTCAATCAGCTGCCGGTTCAGGTGGGACCCAAGCCCCCGCCCTGTGGGAAGGAACAGGAGTGAACCAGAGGAGGAGACAAGACAACAGCCATTGTGCGGTGACCAACTGTGTGTGAGCCTGTGTGTGGACACCCCCCGCGGGAGGTAGCCCTGCCTTTGCACCCATTCCAAATCGATCAGTAAGACATGGGGCCTGATTTTTGCCCCCGGTATTTGGACTACTAAGAGTTAAATTTACTGGGAGAGAATGTTTGCTAGCTCTGGAGGTGAGAAGTGTTACTTCATCCCTCTTCCCCAAGCTCAATTCCTCATGGTAGCTAAACATGGGAAGAATGGAGTGGAGAAGTTTTGGAAGAGAGAGAGAGAGAGAGTGTGTGTGTGTGTATATATGTGTGTAAAAAGGACTCAAGTCACTGGCATTAGGGGAGCATGTACACTGAGTGAGGTCCCTGTGTGTGTGCACACAAGTGTGTTGGTCAGTCCCCTGTCCTTGGAGACAGTCCTCCATTTGGGGGACAGGGAGCCAACTGTCACGTAAGAGGAGAGAGCTGTTTCTAGTCCTAGGGCCTGGGCCAAAATCTAGGCTGTTGAATAATATTCCAGTGCTAATTTATATGGTTCAGATTCTAAGGACCACAAAACCCCATAAGAAGCAAAACAGGATGGTATAGCAGAAAAAGCCTGGCTTTGAGAGCCAGAAAACCTGGGTTCAAATGTTGGCCCTTCCCAGTCTTCACTGTGCAGTTCTTGGAAACTTTCCTTCCCATCTTGGGGTGTCATTTTCCTCCTCTGTAGAATGGAACAGTCTCCATCTTCACAGAGCTGTTGATAGCTTAAAGGAGATCATGTGTGTTAAGTGCCAGCCTTGGGCAAGATACCTCTTCTTTCTGTGCACAAAGAGGGGAGATAGAAGTTGGTTCTGGAAGGCTGATCCCTTCCAGATTTTATATTTTCAGATTCTGCTGGGCAAATGATTCACATTCTGTGAATCCACCTGTTATCACCTTGATTTGCTTCCATATCCACGTGGGACTCTCGGGGGAAACTCAAGTAGAACTGAGTAGAGTCCCACTAAGCTCAGCCTGAAGGGAGTGCCTGACTCTGAAAGATGGCTCCTGGAGCACCCACAAAGGCCATCAGATCTCAGAGCTTCTGCCTGGCAAGTCTGGCTATAGGTATCTCCAGAAAAGCACTTCCTCAGGGCGCCTGGGAGGGTCAGTCCGTTAAGCGTGAACTTGGTTTTGGCTGAGGTCTTGATCTCTCTGTTCAAGGGTTCAAGCCCTGCAACCCTCTGAGTGTGGAGCCTGCTTGGGATTCTCTCTCTCTCTCTCTCTCTCTCCTTCTCTCTCTGTCCCTCCCCCACCTCCAAATGAACTTAATGCTTATTTATTTTTGAGAGAGACAGAGACAGAGCACGAGTGGGGGAGGGGCAGAGAGAGAGGGAGCCAACAGAATACGAAGCAGGCTCCGGGCGGCTCAGAGCCATCAGCACAGAGCCCAACGTGGACCCATGAGCTGTGAGATCATGAGCTGAACTGAAGTCGGACGCTTAACCGACGGAGCCACCCAGGCGCCCCAAAATAAATAAACTGGGGGAAAAAAAGAAAAGAAAGGAAAAGAAAAGAAAAGAAAAAAGAAAAGAAAAGGAAAGGAAAAGAAAAGAAAAAAGAAAAAAAAGAAAAGCACTTCCTCCGTAGGATGAAGAGTTGGTGCTCAGACAAGCTCCACTAGGCTGGGCCTACCCTGAGCTGACCCAGCTGACAAGCATCCTCCTCTTCACGGAGAAAATGGAAAATGTTAGGTGCCACGGCCTGGGGAAAAGCAGGAGAGACCTTGAGGCAAAGCGAGACAGGGATTTCGCGGCTCTTTCCTTCTTCCAGCTCCTCAGCTCACTTTCTCTCTGGAGCTTTCTCCCCCTCACCTGTTCCTGTAACACTGAGGAAAGCAATTCACACCATTCCGTGAATTTAATCCCCTTAATCTTTCTCCCATGGGCATTTGCATTGGCCCCTTTGTCTCTAACCTTGGAGGTTAAAGGGAGCAGTGGGGAACCCCGGCACCCCTGGGCTCCACAGCCCCCACCGCAGGCGTCTCAGGAGGGCTTGGCAGCTACATGAAGTGGATTGGAGATCACACTGGCTGCAGCCAAAGTCATTCCTTCAGCAATTATTTTTTGAGCATCTACAAGGGGCTCTGGAAATTAAATGGAAAATAGAGCAGACGAGGTTCTTCCCTCACAGAGCCCACAGTCTAGAAGGGAAACAGGAAAAAAGAAAGCCACACGGAAGCAGAAAACAGATAAATTAAGTACCAAGCGTGGTGAGTGCTATGAAGGAGGCAAATGGGCCGTGAGCAGGAGAATAAAGTGTGGAGGATGATCTTGGCGGGGTGGGAGGAGGTGGGGAAGGGAAGATAAAGAGAGGAACATTTGTGTTGAGACCAGAGGATGAAAGGGAGGTTGCTCTGGGAAGAGCAGTGTTTGGGGAAGTGCTTTCCAGGTAAAGAGATATTTATAGGGCTTGAAGTCTGGGTAAAGGCAGATCTTTCAATATAGAGATCTGATTGGGATTGGGCAAAGTTTGTAAGATAACAGTTCAGGATTGGAGGATACAGCGAGGGGAGGGTCTTGCAAAATAAACAATTGTTTGATAAGCTAGTGGTTTGCCAGGTTAAGCAAACTATTGTCCCGAGAAGGGGGTTTGAGCAGTCTATTGTTCAGATAAATTGATTTTCAGGAAGTTCCTGGAGCAAATAATAAAATTATTTACCGGTTTACGGCCTTATCTTCCTGGGCAAGAAATGTCTGGAACAAATATTAAAGTCATGTCGATGTAAGCAGCCTTCGTGAAATTATGTGACTGCAGGTGGTCTCAGTTCTCCGAAGCAGTGAGGCTTTGGTGGTCTAGTTGAGAGATGAGGACGATCTGGGCCAGGGTGGGGACAGGGAAGACAGAGAAGGGGAGGACTGGGACATATTTGTGGAGACAGATCAACAGCAGTCACTAATTTGGGTGGATGGAAAGAAAGAATCAAGGATGGCTCCTAGATTTTCGGCTCAAACCTCGGGGTGGTACCATTTCCTGAGATGGGAAAAATTTTACAGGGTATATACATAGGCTTGGGGGTGATGGTTAGAGGTCCACTTTGTAACATGTTAGGGTAAGGATGTCTGTGAGATCCTTGGGTAGAAACGTCAAGTGGGTGGTCAGATACAGGAGTCTGAGGTGCACTAAGGCGTCTTGGAGATTTACATAAAAAATTGGGAGACTCATCAGTACAGAGCTGGTATTTAAAGCCATGGAAACATGAAATTTCACCTATGGAGAGAAGGTAGAGAGGAAAATGAGATACAGAAGGGAGTCAATGGGAAACACTGATGCGGAGATGAGGAGGAGGAGGAAGGAATATAGATAAGGGAGGGCGAGAAAGGGCAACCAGTAAGGTCAGAAGAAATTTAGGGGGTGTAGAGTCATGAAGTGAGTGTTTCAAGGAGGGAGTGGTCAGCTAGGTCAAATAGTGTCATTTTGATGGGTGTTCCCAGGAAATGAGGTAGTAATATAGAAAGACCTAGAATCTTCAAACAACTTCCTCCCATCACTGACTGGCCATGACCTTGAGTTTCATTCTTCTTACCTCTAAAATGATGGGGCACCTGAGTGCCTCAGTCAGTTAAGCACGCAACTCTCGGTTTCCGCTCAGGTCATGATCTCACGGTTCATGAGTTTGAGCCCCGAGTTGGGTTCTTTGCTGACAGCACAGAGTCTGCTTGGGATTCTCTCTCTCTCTTTCTCTCTCAAATAAATAAACTTAAAAAAAAGGGGGGGCGCAATAATGATACCAACCTCATAGAACTGGGATAAGGTACAAACAGATACTATATATGAAAACAGAATTATATATGTATATTATCTTACTGTGTGTAAGATGTAGTAGGCGGATACTTAAAAATATTTCAGGGGCACCTGGCGGGCTCCGTCAGAAGAGCGTGCAACTCTTTTTTTTTTTTTTTTTTAATTTTTTTTAACATTTATTTATTTATTTAAAAAAATTTTTTTTTCAACGTTTATTTATTTTTGGGACAGAGAGAGACAGAGCATGAATGGGGGAGGGGCAGAGAGGGAGGGAGACACAGAATCGGAAAGAGGCTCCAGGCTCTGAGCCATCAGCCCAGAGCCTGACGCGGGGCTCGAACTCACGAACCGCGAGATCGTGACCTGGCTGAAGTCGGACGCTTAACCGACTGCGCCACCCAGGCGCCCCAACATTTATTTATTTTTGAGACAGAGAGAGACAGAGCATGAACAAGGGAGGGGCAGACAGAGAAGAAGACACAGAATCTGAAACAGGCTCCAGGCTCCGAGCTGTCAGCACAGAGCCCAACGCGGGGCTCGAACTCACGGACCGTGAGATCATGACCTGAGCTGAAGTCGGATGCTTAACCGACCAAGCCACCCAGGCGCCCCTAGAGCGTGCAACTCTTGATCTCGGGTCATGAGTTCCAACCCCATGTTGGGTGCAGAGATTACCAAAAACAAAAACAAAAAAGATTTTTTTTAAACTTTTTTTAAATTAAAAATTTTTAAAAAGAAAAAAGAAAAAATACACTTCCTTGACAAGTGAAAAAAAGATTTAGTGATGTACTAAAAATTAACAGAAAGTAAGACAAAAACCAAAAAAAAGAAATTTCAATGTGGCGGCTGTGGTGGGGAAGGGTGGTCGCCAGATACAGTGGATGGGGGCTGTTGGAAAGAGGAGAGCCCATAGTCCATCTCTCTGTCTTCCTCTCTCACTCTGCTGTGGCAAAGGACAGGGGAGGGACCCACAATGAAGGTGCCCGTTGACACGGATAAGGGGCCAGAGGAAAACAACCAGGTATATGGAAAACACAAGCATGCTGGCTGGGAAGAGGAAGGACTGGTGGCACTTGGGTGACTCCTGGTTTCCGAAATGGCTTCATCCAGTCATCCATACTTTGACCTGTTCCACCTCCATCCCCCCCACTCCCTTCTTTCTATC